CTCGCTCCTTCCCAGGCTAGGTGCGGCTCCACTGCTTCGTCTCTCCGTCTGTGGATCGTGGCTCCACTGCTCCATCTGTAAATCTCAGAATGGAACTCAGGATCTGGAAAGGAAGAGAGGGAGAGAAAACCGCACTCAGGACCTTGTACTTACCAGGCAGGCGTTGGATCCTCTCAGCTACATCCCAGGTCTTGCTGTTACTCTCTCCAACGAGCTACATTCCCCAGCCTCTCTCACTGCCTCACGTGAATTCGTATCAATTGAGTCATTTGGCTGTGGCTTCAGCTCATGCTAGAAGATTGCTATCAGGTAGAGAGCGGGCTTCGCTTGAGAATTTTCAGACTGCAGAATTTCAAAAGCCACGCTTCATAATCTTTCCCACTCAGAGCTGCACCTTCTGGAGGTGCAGGTTGATAAGAGTATGGCCCAAAGCATCATCACAGAAAAGCCTGGAGCAGCAACAAAACTGCTATCGAGTATACATTGCTTTTCAGAAAAAGAAGAAAAGTGGGCTGACCGGAGTACAAGTACCAACAGCACAGACGCTGGCAATCTTAAAAATTTCAAAACACGAAAATTGAGGCTTCCCCAGAGCAATGCTTCAACAGAAGGTGACAAAATGAAATCATGCCCGAAATCCAGGCAGCTATCATACAGATTCCTAAACCTGCATCCAATCGCACTCTGAAAACACCTGAGACCCCCAAAATGATGAAAAAGCAACAGAAGGCAGTGTACGTCACTGCCCATGAGATCATGAAGTTTGGAAGCCTTAATTTTAAAAAGGATCTTCAGGCAAAAGAAAGTGTATCCAAGACTTGTTCAAACCATACAGCTGACTCGTTAAACACTCAGATGATGACTACAGTTTTAAAAATCCAGAAGCATGTACAAGAAGATACTTTTGCGAGACAGTAAAGGGAGCAAAAATGGCGGAGGTTGTTAAAGGACCACTTCATCACCCCATCACCCATGAAGCACCGGAATAGGCTTTCTGTAGGAGCAGCTGATACACAGGCTCATGCGACAGTCCCAGCAGGAGCACAGGATTGCTGTGCAGCTCATGCATGCACTTTCAGCATGAAAAGGAGGTTTTATGGAAAAACAGAATTTTCAGAGAAAAACAATATGAGGAAAGACAACTTAAAGATCTCCAGGATGTTCTTGATCGAGAAGCAGCAAAACAATCCAAGATTGATTATGAAGAACAAATCCTGAGAGAGAAAGAAGTTCACAGATTGCCGTGCAAAGAATTCAGGCTCGTTATAGAAAGCATTATAAGATATGAGGGAAAATTTTGGATCAAATACTAGATTTGTCCACTAAAGTGGCAGGAAATCGAATGTTGACAAATAATCTGATTCCATTTAAGATGATGCGTGTGTCTTTGTGAAAAGCCCGTATATAAACAAACTTCTATTAAGCATATGCCTGCTAATCCCTCTAAGGAACAACTTAGAGAAATGGATAAAAGAGACTCGCTAGGTATCAAAGATTGTGAAGAATATAAGAACAAGATTGGAGAAGGGGCTGTACCAGAAGAGATAACAGATAATTTACCACCCTCCAGCAATTCCATACTGGGCCATGCACTTCACAGACTCATTGAAAAATCTCTTCTTCCTCCTCAAATTGAGCCAGTGGAGCCTGAAATGCCTTGATTTGCTATTAAAGTATGCTTATTGGGGAAAACACTTAGTGGGAAAATTATCATTTTAAACATCTACAAAGAGAGTTTCCTATTCAGGTACTTTGTATGGGCACTCTTTTTTTTTTTTCTCATTGAGTTTGTTGGTACATTTTAGTTATACAGTACAGTTCCATTCATCATTGGGATCTTGTACCTTTACATGACAGGTCTTGGTTCTCATTTTTCCCCTTATCCCTGCCCTCCCTTCACCCTCTCCTCCCTTCCCTATTTACAGATACTTATTTCCATTTTTTCATTTTCTCATTTTTTTTTCTTTTCCCTTATTTCCTTTCCCCTACCCTTCCCACTTCCCCTACACCTTTAGCCCTTTTCTTCCTATTTCACACTGTCAATTATACCATTAGGATCTAAGTATGGGCACTCTTGTCCAAGAAGCTAAACAAGCATTTTATGACAGTGAAAAAATCAGTGAGGACCTGCAATTCAGAAAGAAGGTAAAGAGATTCCATCAAATCTGCAGGAGGACAGTAAAGAAAGCCAGGACTCACACAATGTATCTTCAGATGCTCTGGTTTTAGGTGAACCATTACCAGAAACAAGGCGAAGCTACATCTAATACACATGATAATAGAACACCAAAAACTGAAGAAGTCAAATCAAGTAATAGCAACCATTTCTCTAAACTCACTGTATGTGCTCAACTTGGTGCAAAATTACAAGTGCTGAAGAACAGAAAGAGCATTCCAGTCATGTTATTAGTTAACATCATAGTATATGCTGTTAATGAGATGCCTATGAATCAAGGGTGGATCCTTGATAGTTTTCCAGTGACATTAAACCAAGCACAGCTTCTAGAAGCTGTCACTGACTGCAATAGAAATGGAGGCAAAAAAAACAAAAACACACAAATATCCACACTGGCTATGGATCCTATGGCTTCAAAAGAAGTCCCTCTTCCTTCTTCTGCATGTGATTTTGTCATGTTACTAGATATTGCAGATGCTTTCTTGCTGTGTTGAATGAATGATATCAAAGCTGAAGAATTTTCACATGAAACAGCTCCTAAAGATATTGGTCAACATGGTGCTCCTGAAAACCAAAATAGGCATAGGTACCAGAACTTAAGAGATCACATACAAAAGAGAATTACAGGCTTCTTGGACAACAGGTCCTTCTTGGAACGGTGGTTTTCAGAAGCAGAAAATATTTTTATAAAAATCAATGCTGAAATAAACTAAAAGAAATGTTTGCAACTGAGATAGTGAAGAAAAAGAATAAAGATAGTTACATTTATTATCACTTAAGCTTATATTAATAAACTATGTGCTTCCATGAACTTTAGGAGGTAATCAAAGTGTGATTGCAAAGTTCTCTCTTGTATTTGGATTGACACTATTTACTGGTGCATTTTACCTTGTACTGTAGCTTTCTGCTGCACATTTCTGAATAAACTTTTCTCTCCCTCTTAAATGAATTTTGTAGAAAGTGGTTAACACACTGAAAGCACTGAAGAAAACTTTATTCTTTTTCCTATTATAAAATCAACTGTAAAGTTTCAGAAAGTAGCTAAAAATATAAAAAGTTAAATAGGTATTATTGCACTACTTTCACTTTAAAAAGGAAATAGAGTTAAAAATTAAGAATGCTAAATACATTATATACACTGAATATATAAAACCTCTATTTGTCAACTAATATCTTTATATGAAAATTAAGGCTGTTATAGAGAATAAAGGTTTAAATTTGTTAACTTCAAAAAAATTAAAAACTAAGTAGACCCTTGTTACAACTGTGATCAAATATTTATGTACTAGCAGTACATAAGGGGCACATATCATTCTGGGAGGAATGTCTCACTGGATAGGTGCCATTTAAAGATGGCATAATTTTTTAAAGGCTCCAATCCAAGACTACAGGTCTCCTGTTCTAGCCCACTGTACCAGCTATTTGCATGGCTTTGACTTTGATATTTGATGGCTCTCGGCCATAGCCAACTTTTCCAGAAAGAGAAGGCATTGGGCAGCATGATTGGGAATGAAATAAAAGAAATATGGGGAGCAAAAATGAAAGGATAACCTTCCGAGATTATGGCCTAAAGGTTTTGGTGGGCGAGAAATCTAAGAACAAGTACCACCTTGGCTTACACAGAGGAGCTCATTGTTCTTTAATAGGACTCATAGGAAATTTCAAAAGTCATTTTAGCCTCCCTCTTTTCTCCAGGAAAAAAGAAATGAAGATGACTAGAAAATGAAGTTTTTTAAAAAAAAGTAAAAACACAAACAAAACCTGTTTTTCCAATGAGACATGAAAGCACTTTGCAAACTATCAGTTATTAAGCACATGAGTGAGATGAGGAGGCTGGGATGCAGGAATCAGTGCTACAGAGCTTACTGTAGAGCGTGCTCAGGCAGGGACCTTTGTTCCAACCCCAGAAAAGGAGGAGGACACCACAAGAAATCTCAACTTTGTCAAGCATGAAACCAGGATTGGCTGTTCTGAGTTGTTACACATGAATGGTGTTTTTTAAAGTAGTTTTTATATACAGTGCTGTCTTGATATTAATGAGCAAGAGATAAAGCAAAAGACTATTTTTTTCTTTTTCCTTTTTTACTGGGATTGAACTCGGGGCCTTTGCACCGAGACACATCTCAGCTCTTACTTTCTTTTTTTCTTTGTCTGTTTCTTTTTCTTTTTTTAATTTGAGATGAGATCTCTCTAAATCCTAAACTGCCCAGTCTGGGCTCAAACTTAGGGTCCTGCCTCATGCTCCCAGAGTGCTGGAATTACCTGTGCCACCACAATGGCCAAGCAAGCATTTCTTAATTGAGGTCCTTAAAAGCAGCAACTATTTTCTTATGTTTACAGTATTTGCATAATGCCTGACACTTTTAGACACTTAACAGATATGTGGCTAATGAATTGTTGAATAAGCACTCAGTTACCTAGTGTTAATGTTCTGGAAAATTTGAAGTATCTAAGCATTAAGTCTTTTATTTTTAATTAAACATTTAATGGAAAAATTTTCTATTATGATTGCCATAATATACTTGTCATTCTCAGAGTAAATGAAAATCAACGAGTATGGCGAAATCTATCAATACTGCATTCTACACTTGTGAAAATATCTAAAGAAAATAGTGAAAATCCCTTTAAGAAACATGTTGAAAGGA